AGCTATCTAAAGATGATGAGATATAAAGTATTAGATGTGTTTTATTGATATCAGACAATTTAAATAATATTTATTTTATTATAATTATAAAATTTAAAATTGTACCAAATTAAATAATTGTGTCAACATCATTTTACTCCAATATAATTGCGTCAATTGAAAATTGTCAAGTCACATGATTGTGTCATATGCATTTAATTGTGCCAAAATTGTATAATTGCGTCATAATTGCGTCATGTGTCACATTAATTGCGCCATTATAAAAATTTTAAATAATTGCGTCACCAGTAAATCAATTTCTATCACATGTATAATAAAGTCTATATGTAATCTATTTTATTATAAGAGACTTTTTCAAATCAAATTGATAATAAAAGTTCCAATTTTCAGATTTTATTAATGTCTATAAATGTCTAGTCATTAAGAAAGTTAAATATTTCTACTTTTGGTTTCCAGCTATCCGAAGTTTGCTGTTGTGTAGTCTATTAGTAATTGGATTACTAATAGTATTTAAGTCTTATATTAAGATTATTTTGCTTTTGCATTTGATTTTTTAATAAAATAAGTTAACTTATTATTTGTTAATACTTGCAACTTTCTTTTTTGTTATTAGACAAATATATTTAAATAACTATTAGCTTATATTTTTTGAAAAAGAAATATGTTGCTATAATACAACTATCTATTCTATTTATTTTCCTATATGTTTAAAGAGTTTTTTAAAAAGTTATGCCACTTTTGTTAAAGTTTGTTTATACTAAGCTTACATAATATTTATAGATTGAATAATTTGTAAAAGCAAAATGTATACTGTTTGTTAATAGTTTGGTTTTACTAATACTTAGTATATCAAACTTTTTTTTTGTATTTCAGCAATGAAATTGTTTTAATCCAGAATTTGATTAATTTTTCTTACATTATATATGCATATATTAAGTATAGGTTTATATATTATGTTGTAAGAAAAAAGATATAGATTTAAGGCATAATATGTTCTGTTTCAATTTCTGTTACATGCAGCAAAAAATCTTTTGATTGGTTAGAAATATGGCTGGTAATGAATAAAAAATCTTTTGATTGATAAAAATTAATCTATTTATTGTTATATCTATTGATATATTCATAAAATTTGTCAAGTATTAATTGATATGTGTTGTTATATATAATTAATAGATATGTTTTTTTGTGCCAAGTATATTATTTTTTGTTGCTTAAATAAAATTGATGTTAATAGAATTTCTTCAGTTTTACTTGATAATGAAGGGTTAAAGTTATATAATTTGTATAGTTCTGTGATCCTTCTGTTTTTTTTTGTGTTTGAGTATAATCAAAACTTAAAAACAGTTTTTTTTAATTCAATTGTAACAACTTTTTAAAACAATTTAAGATATATTCTAACTTTTCTTGTTGGATAAGCTTTTTTTAAATTTGTTAATCTAGTACTAAAGTAACTTAGTTGATTAACTAGTTAAGATAATACATTTGTTGGATCTTTAATTATAATAGCTAATATATTTGTTTTGTTTTCTTTTTTGTCCTTTGAATATTTCTTCCTATTATTGTTAGATTATCTGGACTTAAAAGGTTGCTATGAATTGGTTTATATTGTTGTTTCATTTAAGACTTTATAGGAATTTCTATACTGATTCTATATGTTTAGTATCTTTTTATATAAAGCTTTTGAGCTATCTTTGATGCTTTATCATATTTGATTTTCAAAGAGGTACGTATATATATTTTATTATTGCTTGATTAAGACTTTGATTATCTTTGAATTCTACAATTACAAATTATCTTTTTTTCTTGTTTTGTTGTTTGAAGATATATATAATATACACAATTTTTGCTTCAATATATTTGACTGTACTTATTATTCTTATAGCTAATATATTTTCTTTAATTTCATAAAATCTTGCAATGAATTTGTTTCTTTATGTAAATATTTTTTCAAAGTTTTGATATGATATAATTCTTGCCATTACTTTATCTATACATGTGATGGAATTGAATTCAACCATTTTTCAAAAACCGTATTATGGTGGAATTACTAAGTAACATATAGTAAATAATTGGAATTCGTATTTAATTCAGAATTGTATTGTCGATCAAATTTCCTTTTATGGTAATACGACCACATGTATGGTTGAGAGTATACATATAATAAAATTGAATTCATTTATTTTTCAAAAACTATATTATAGTAGAATTATTAAATAATATACATATATAGTAATTAATTGGAATTCATATTTAATTTGAAATCATATTGTTAACCAATTTTCTTTTATAATAATATAAACATATTCAGTATATAGTTGAAACTATACATGTAATAGAAATTAATAAATTTTTAATACAATTTGATACAATTATTTGATACAATTAATTAAGTTATTATTAAAACATATAAAATAATTGAATCAGATATAATTATTTTTAAAAATTTTAATAATTAAGTCAACAACAAAATAATTTATATTACTGTATATACAATATATAGTTAAGACCATATTTCAAAATTTTTTTTATAATATCCATTCTGTTATCATTAGTAATTTGGAAAATATATTAAAAGTTCAAGAATAAGTTAAAATCCTTTAGTAACATTGGTTTAGAAATGATAAAAAGATTAAGGTTTGTATTGATAAATTCTTATTTTTAGTAGTCTTAAAAAGAAGCATTAATAACTTTAATACTTTTTAATTTATTTTGTATAAAGCAAACTGTATTAATCAAACTTTTGAACAATTGCCTAGCTTAAGGAGATAGGCTAATATAGTGGTGGTGATTTTATTGATTTTATATTTTTATAAATAATTATAGCTTGAGTGTTTTGAATATTGGTGACAAGAATATCAATTAGGATATATTCATGACTGTTTATTTGATCCTTGGGAGATAAAGTTTTTTTAGGATTTTTGATTTTTCTTTTGAAAAAAAAAATTTTTTAATTTTCTTATTTAATAATTTTTATCGATATGGATATACTGTATATAGAAAAAAGTTTTTTTTTTTGAGATTGGTAATTATTTATTAACTATTTCTTTATTATTAAGTCTATTAATAAGTTTTTTAATTTAAAATTTTGTTTAAATATTTTAAATACTTTTCAAATCAAGAATGCTTTTGTTATAAATAATGCTATTGAAAATAATACTATAGATTTTAGCTTTATATAGGGTTTCAATTGATATCAGTATTAATTTTTAAGTTTAAATACTAAATCAAAATTTTTAGTAAAATACTGATCAGTTTTGATACTTTTTAAAAATACCAATCAATAAAATATTGATTAATAAAGTATTAATTAGTTTTGGTATTTTCTAAAAGTAATAATAATTATTAAGTAAAGATTTTTAATAGAAATTATATCAAATTATTAATATATAAATATATCATAAAAAAAATTATTTTATTGTTATTAACTATTTTTTTAAAATAAAAAAATTCAAGACTTATATTGAGTTTCTAGAAGAAATTACTTTTATAAATTTTGAACATAAAAAATTTTAAAATAATTTTGATAGTAATAAAATGTTAGATATCAAAATAATTAATACTTTAACAAATAGCAATTCTAAAAAATATCAAAGCTGGATCTGAACCCATTTTACTTTTAATGAAAATTTATAAAAACTTCAATACAATTATTGTAATTAATTTATTTAATCAAATAAAGGTAGTACTATTGATATGGTCAAACATCTTAAAAATAAATATTTTCTGTAACTTGAAAAAAACAAACAGTAATTAATATTAAAAGAAACAATATAAAATAAATTAGTTTTAGTAAGTTATATTAAATATTTTATTTAATTTTAAATTAAAAAATATTAATTTATTTTTAGACATATAATGTAAAAAATTTTTGACAATTGTTTATAAAATATATTATAGTTAATAACCTTCTTTTTACATGTATTGAATCTTTCAATTTTAAAAATATAATATCTATTTTATGAAATGAAGTTCTAGTTAACAAACTTTTTCCCATATGCACAAAATTACTATATTTGGTAATTTGTCTAAAGAAAGAGGAAAATGAGTTCGCAAAGGACATTCAGAGGTTTAGGCACCTTCTCCAGACCCAACTACAATATCAATGATTTTAGCAAAGGCAGGGTCAGCCAGAAGAGCAAAGAAACAACCCCTTATACAGTACAAAAACCAGCAAAGAAATAACAATAGAAAAATGCTGAAACAGAAGCAACCAGCAGCAGCATAGTCAAAATAACAGTTCCAGAGACAACCAATTCATCCTCAATAATTCAGAACCCCAAGGAGATGACTCAAGAATCTAAAGACAAAGAGCTATGGAGTGACGAGGTAGAAAGAGTAACAGCAGAAACATTCACGAAAGGACAACAAACACAACAAGAAATCAGAAAGTATATCAGAATCGATGACTCAGATACAGAAATAGAAGAAACAGAAGCAGAAAACAACAACAGGAAGATATCGACAGTAAATGAAGAATGGTTAACATACAATAAAAGCAAAGGCAAACAATCAACTCACCAGTGAAGCAAACCTAAACCACATTCTCTTTTTGATAGAAGCAGTAGATATAGCAGACAAAGAAGCAAAATTGGCATCAATGTTACCATAATTCCTGGGAAGAACACAAACCAGAAAATCCAATACCTTACCAAGGCACTTGAATGTCCAGAAGAACTTCTTGCAATCCGCAGTAAAGAAAAGAATGACCAAGAGCAGATCATAGCTATTTTCAGTGATTGCCAAGCAGCAGAACACGCATGCACTATCAAACTTCCAAATTTGGAAGACAAGCATCTGCAATACATGCCGATGATCGATTCAAACATCAAAAAAAAAAACAGTATCAGAGTATGGAACATTCCTCTGGATGTCAAATACATAGAGGTATAACAAGAATTTGTTAAATATGGACAAATCACAAGGATAGCCATAAGCACAAAACAAATATGGCAAATAACAACAATTACCTATATGGACAAGATCAGCAAAGATCGAATAACAGACATGTGAAGTATTCCATTCAAAGCAGACATGGTCCAGGTCTTTGATACACAATGGAACCTGTCACAAATGAAACAAAGGGTACAGATAGCAGCAAAGCTTACAGATCTCTCACCCAATACAATAGCATTTGATTTACGTAATATACTATAATTTGTTAAGGCAAAAACATGCTACATTCCATGCAGAGGAACATACCAAAGGAAAAGATTTGCTGTCATTAGCTTCAAAACAGAAGAAGATCTTCAGAAAGCTACAGCGGAAACATATTCAATCGGTGAAACACTCCTAAAATGAACAAGTCAAATATTTGTTTGTCGAATATTTATATATCAAATATTTATTTATTATATAGTTAACTAAATTGCTAAGAGAAGTTTTGGACAACCATACAGTAGAAATTCAACATATAAAAATAACTCGTAAGAGAACTTATAAGACTGCAACTTATTATGATATAACACCACCCAAAGATTTGCCGAATTGGGCTTATTATTCGGAAGAAGAAGCTGAAGAATCGGTAGAAAAACATAAAAAATGAAAGGTTGCCGAAGAATCATCAATATATTTGGAGGAGCATTAAACTGGAGAAAGCGCAATAATGGGTGAGGTCAGGGAGGCAGTTGCTAAGGCGAAAGCAATAGAAAGTACAAAAATCGGCAAGAAAAAAACAACCGAACGAAAGGTTGCCGAAGAATCATCAATATATTCGGAGGAGCATCAAACCGGAGAAAGCGCAATAATGGGTGAGGTCAGGGAGGCAGTTGCTAAGGCGAAAGCAATAGAAAGTACAAAAATCAGCTATACTATAAAAAATTTTTATCATAAAAAAATAAGTAAAAAAATTTTTTTATACATTATAATAAAATTCTGGATCTTTATATTACCAACTGTACATTATTTCCAAAATCAACAAATTATATTAAAAAAGATACTATCTCTGAAAAAACATGTCGAAATTATATATATTCTTGAAAGTACAAGTATGATGAAAAAAAAAAAAGTATTTATTATGATAGGCATAAGTAATCTGATGTAGTGGCATATAGAAAAGAATAGTTGGAACAAATGTTTATATATAAAAAAAGTATAAAAGATTTTGATGGTAATACATTGAATACTATAATAGAACCCCAGCTCAAGTCAGGAAAAAAAGAGTTTGTTCAAGTAATACATGACAAATATTACTTCTATCCAAATAATAGTCAATGGAGAGTCTGGATTCAAGAAAAAGAGAATATCCTATGCTTAAAACACTTGGGATACTTCATTATAGTTTCAGCTTTTTTATATTCATATCATAGTTTATTGCAATTATTTGAGCAACAATTGCAAGCCAATTCACATATTAAATATCAAGAATCTTTTATTTTTCGTTCTATTCAAGAAGATGGATACTGAAAGTTGAAGCATATGTTAGATTAGGTTTGGACTTTTTTTTTATTTGATATTTTTTAAATTTTAAGCTAAAATTAATTGTTTTTATAAATAAAACTTGTGTATCAAACAATACCAATATTTGAGATATTATATTCTGGATATATTGGAATTTTTTGTTTCGATCAATTCATTAATCACAATGCTATAGCAACAGATGCACTAATTGTAATGAAAATGAATTTAAGTCCTGAAGATATATAACCTAAAATGCATAATGGTTGGTATGTTGATGAAAATGGAGAAAGATATATATAATCAATGCTATTTTCTAATAATTATCCAATTGAAAAACTAAAAGATCAATTCAAAGGTATTAAGCAAGTACTTATGGAATATAATCTTTGACTATCAAAGAAAATTCATTTGGTATATAAAGAATGCTTAGAGAAACATGATGATTCAATAAGATTGAATTGTTATATACAAAAAATTTTGTTATCTCAACTTGATTTTTGTGAACAACAATCAATATTACATAAAGTGATTATAAACACAAGACATATCTTTGAATATTATTCAAAATTCCATTGTGAATGCAATTTTATAGAACAATACTGGAGATTTTTAAAGCGGGAAACCAGATGCCTATGTAACTATAATTATACATATTTATTAAATCAAATTCCTGAATTCTTAATAGTATACCTATAACCACAGTTTGCAAATTTGCACATAAGTTATGGAGATATATGGATGTATATAATAAAAGATTGGAGGGTAGAGTTGCTAAGTGGACTGTAAGTAAATTTAAATCATATAGGTGATTATCAAAAAATATTAAGAAAATAATAGAAATTGAGTATAGGAAAGTAAATATAAAAAAATAAAAAAATGAATAAATATTGATTATTAATAATAGTAAAATGAACATGAGGAGGAAAGATAATGAATAAATATATAGTAATGTCTTATTGTTAATCATACTGTAATATATTAATTTATATTTTAATAATAAATTAATTCAATCGATATATTGATAATTAATTAATTATTTATTATAATTTAATTAATGAATAAAATCGTTATAAATTTTTTTTAAGAAAGTTAAATAACACAAATTATATATTATTACTAATTTATATTGCCATTTTATCGATCAGATTAATTCTTTTATATGGACTCAAGAATATTTTGCCATTTTTTGCCTATAAACTATATTAATTTGTCACAATTTTTGGCATTTGCTTCTCTATATTTACCTTAACAATCTCTTACAAATTTTCTATTGAATTTAAATCTGGGTTATTAGATGATTATATCATAAATGTCTTTAAATAATAGTATAAGTAACACTTACTCCTTTTTAACAACTTCTTGGTCAAAACTCTTGAAGACAGTAAAGAATCCCACCAAAGATATTGTTCTAATGTTTTAGAAATATTGTTGATGATCTTTTTTAGCTATCTATTATCTCTTTTGTGTTCAATCTTTTTTATGATTTTTAATTTTTTAAGGTTTCTGTAGATAGTAGTGATAGGTATATTGGTTTATAGATATATTTTTCTAGCTTCGCATATGTTTTGCCTTCACAAATATAATATGGACTGGTATTGTATTTCTTTTTTAGAAGTTGATATTAGATTATAATATTTTTTCAGGAAACAATTAAAAATATAATCAAATAATAATGAAAACCTGATTGTTTATTTTGTATTTACCTTAAAATAATATTTCGTTACATTTTAAGTATGGTTTGCACCAGTATGCTTGATAATATCAGGAGGATAGAGTGCTTTTACATGTTCTTTATTTTTGGGTAGCAAAAGATCTGGATATTCAGTTAAAGACATGACCTGTTTGCATTTTTTGCAAAAATAAAAATAATAAAAATAATAATCTGTAAGATCCTTTTGTTACTTCAAAAAATTACAATCAATTTTCATGCCTGTTTACTTGACGAAAAATGTGATTAGCTGTTGCAATAATTGTTACAGATTTCCAATGTTGCAATCAATAATAGCATCAAAACTTAAATTCTCTTTTTTCCCAAGTCATTCTTTGGTTTTCTTTACACGAATCATCAATTCATCATGAATAGCATACTTTACCTTCTTGATATGAGATTTATATTGTCATACATAAGAATTTTAGAACAAGTGGATTCTGTGAATTTAAAAATCAAAAAATGTTAGCAAATAATAGATATCACTCTGAGTTCAGAAATTACAAAATAAATCAGAATCAAAAAAACCTGATATAAACAAGATATGGCAGATTTGCTAAGAAAGTGACTCGAATTTTTTTGCCTTGTCCAAAAGATATAAGCCAACAACTAACCTGTCATAACCTGCATTATAAAGTTTGAGATAAACAAATATTTGAACATTAAAGATTTTATATATATGTATTTTCAATAAGTTAATGGGATTTTATAAGAATTTTAAAACATAATTACTTTTTTTTCTTATTGAAAGAAGATTCAAATAGTAATAGGTGATTTTTTTATAAATCATGAAGATAATATTCTAAAAATCTAACCAATTAAAGATTATAATCAAAATAAATGTCTCTAATTAGATATGTAAATATTTGATTCGACTTGTTTCAATTTTGTAGTTAAATCAGTCTGTTCTATTGAACATTCAGATAGTTTAATGGAATATATTGATTTATTAGGATTATTTATAATATAAGCTGTTGAACTCTACTTGCAATTCTGAATGAATTATTAAATGTTTGAGAATTTTGTATTATGAACAAATATGTTATTAAAAATTCTTGGGATGGTAATCACTAAAATATATTTAAACTCTGTTGTGATATGGATATTTATAATACTGGAATATTAGGAGGCTTTAAGGTTGAAGGCATCAGAGTGGTCTTATTTTCACTTCTTATAGATTGTTGTGGTATCTGAACAAGGAAAGGAGTCTGTTTCTGCAGCTGAGATGCCATTGTATCAGTTAAAAAAATCATCTTTTGGAGTTAAGGCAATATTGGATTGAGTTTTTTGTTCTAAGGGAATAATATTAAACATATTAATAGAAATTTAATATACTTAAAATAAATATTGATAAGACTCTTTAATAATTTCTTATTTGTCTTCTATGTAGTTAATCTTGATTGTTATTGCTTTCTTCACTATGAAAAAAAAGTAATAATACATTAAGGCTGACAATTGATGGGAATAGTCGTGGCTGGTAAACCATCTTTGTATTTCTTCGAAATTGGTAAAATCAGATAATCTTGTGTTATACAAATCTTTATTGTTTTTTTTTGTACCATACATATAGTATATTTCATGTGATATGCTGATCTACATTACATATAGCAATTTGAAACAAAATTTTAAGACTTCTGGTTAAAGATGGATTCCTAAAGTATTTAGCATATAAAATTTATGTTTTTTTATGTCCACATTTCCTAGAGGACATAATTCCTAGCTCTTTATTTCAATAGGGACATAATTTCAGAAATGATTTGTATAGATGCTTAAAACTATAAAGAACCTTTATAGGTAGTTTTTTTTTATTTCTTAATATAGAAATAAAAATTTTTAATAATAAGAGACATTTGAATTATGTCCTCACAAATAATTTAGGAACCCATCTTTACTTCCAGTACCATATTTTAGAAACAAATTTTCAATTATAATATTAATACAGTACTATTAAATACTAAAAACTATTATGTTTTTATATAGGTTTTTAAATTTCCTTCAGTAATTAATTTATTGACAATTTTTTTTTGTAAATAATCTCTTGCTTAATAGGTTTTTTTAAAAAATTTTATAATTTTAGTATATTTTTCTAATATATTTTTAGCAAAAGTTGTTTTTGTAACATCTGTTGCTATTAAAGTGATATGATATATAATATATTGTAAAGAAATAATATGAGAATATTTTTCAATAATTTTTTTTTTAGCTGCAACTAAAGTACTGACAGCATCAGTAACAATTTCACTAATTTTAGTTGATTTAATATTTTCTAAAATTTTAAGTATTTCATTTTCAAAAAAATTAATAGTATGTAAACACTAGTCGAAATTTGGTCATTCGGCATGTCGAATTATTGCCGAATTTTTAAATTTTTTATAATTAAATTTAAGC